CTGCACGTCCATTTTACGACTAGAAATTCAGAATAGGTGTAGGCCAAGTTTTCAAAATTTCAGCTTCATAGCTTTCATATGTCCCGAGACTGGAAAACCGGGAGAGACATTACACACACACACACGCACACACAGACACACACACACATGCACAAATATAACCTTTCGAAAATATGCGTTTTCGCACTGTACAGGTATAAAAAACATGCAAAAATTAAGGACACATAGACAGAAAAAAGGACGACTGGCCAAAAACCGAAGTTGATTCGGAAGTCTCCGATTATCTAACTTCAGTGTGTTGTTGCGTTAATATCAAAAGTTGCACTCGTCACAGGAGGTATGCCAGAGTAGAAACCGTTTGACCTAGATCCTAACAGAAGCAAAAAAAAAAAACAAACTGCTTGGGGTCTCGAAAGCAGAAAGCACTGGGCCCCTTTGATACCACAAGCACGTAAGCGATTCTCCAGCATCGATATGATACTTCTGTTCTCTGGAACAAAACGAGCGAGAACACGAAGATTTCGGCAATAATCAAAAACCTGAAAAGATCAAAACATAATTCACATCTCTTCCCCGAACCATCTCGTAAGAACAAAGCTCTACTGGTATTTCTCCAGAGCATGTGAAACCTTGAATTTGCAGATTTCACTCAGAAGAGAAGTTGGAATTTCGCACCACCCAAAAACAGGGAGAAATTCAGTCCTGATACGACATGACGCAGGACAGTTGTCGGAATTCGTCATCGAAGCATTCATTTGAAAATGTTCAACCGGTGGCACTGAATTTGCGAACAAAATTTCTAAAATAAGGCTAACCTCAAAAAGTTGCTCATCTCGCTGGATATTAATGAGAAAACTGTTGACGCCCTTTTTATGGACAAGCACATCCATGTCTTTCTTCGTCGATTCGTTCCATTCCGAAACAACGGCACTGAATGCAATATTGCAACACGATTTCGAAGTTGCTGCTTTGCTGAGGCGATCGTAAGCAGCTAACAGTGTTTCGTTCGCTCCTGCTGCTTCGAGCACGCCGATAATCTGCAGGCACATGCAGTCACCCACTGTTACCCTACATGCGCATTCTAATCGAAATCTGTTGCTCCCTTCCACCCCCTCCCCGCGCCACAAAAGAGTGCTTGAAAGCTTGTTCTAAAACTTCCGGACTATAATTAGTAAAACGATTTTCAGGTCGACCTGTACAGGAATCGAAGAAAGAGTTAGGTAAGATGCAGTACCGTGGCAGTTCCACCGGCCAATGCAGCCCTTGAATGCGCTTCGAGGTCAGACGTGGAATCTGCCCAGGAAAAGTCGTTATGTATGTCAATACCAGCCGGCATAAGTGCTTTGCCGGTTCCATCGATGACGTGCGTTCCCGGTGGAATGTCGATGTTCTTCGCCACCTGCCTTAAAAACAATCAATTTACAATCCTCGTTACCATCCCAGAAAGATTTTCAGCCTGTTTCGCCACCCATTCCCTACACTAAAATTTGTTCCGCACTGCTGTTGACTGAGCGCGAAATCTATTTATGCTAAATCGCTGGGAGCACATATAAGTCCGCGACTGTCTATCTCTCGACAAACTGGTGGTTTAAAATTCAAAGAAAGAAGCGTTTTCGCTTCAAAAACACTCCTTTCACCAAAATAGAGCGCTTTATTCGAATGATGCCCCATTCAGCTCATTACATCTTCCATTCTTACGTACTTTTGCATATTTATGCAAATGCAAAAACACATACTGGCAAGGAGTTATGTATGTGTACTCGCATC